TCAACAAGCATTTTCAGAGCATCAATATCAATTCCAACATGTCGGCCCTTGCCATCACAGTTTTTAAGGCTAAAGTCATCTGAGCAGAATTTGCTGAACCATCATTGACACTTACGAACGATTAAAACATTTCCATAAACTTCTTTGATATTCTTTGTGGCTACAGAGGCATTGTTTCCCTTCTTGTATTCAAACAGCATTACATGCCAATTGTGTGTGTCGTCATGTGTCATCACTATAAGAGATTAGAGTATACTAAACTTTACACGTTATATAGACTACACTAACGTGACGTTCAGGTAGTTCGTTTAACTATTATACGTGATATTTTGGGAGGGGTTAATGAAAGTTTTCCAAAATGCGACATTAATTTCTTTAAGACTTAATAGATGGCTTGATTACTGTTCATTACAGAGTTAAAGACTGGTACACCTGCAAGAAATAAATACTTGGAAATAAAAAACCCTAGTCATCACATGGCTAGTTTCCATGAAGAGAGTGTTGAAACTTGTAAAATAGTGGAAAGAAACAGTATTTGAGAGATGCTCTTTTCAAAGTGCTTCTCAGCAGTGCTTTTTTTTTAATAATATAAATTCTATAAGATGTTAACAGAGCTTGCAGATTCAGTGATTTACATTCATTGATTTTGAACATTTCCAACATTTATTATTTTGTTTTACAGCTATTGTTACATAATTATGTTTTTTAACCAATACATATAAGTAGACACAATACTTCCACATACAGTAAAGGTATGTCAGATGTGGTGTTCTCATTTAAGTGCATCTGGGTAGTAAAAGTAAATTACACTTAAAAACTTACAGAAAAAGTTGGAAACGGAATTACAACAAATTGAAGAAAAATTTGAAGCCAAACGAAAAAAATTTTTGGAAGCCAGTGAAACATTTCAAGAAGAGCTCAAAAAGGTATTCATTTTGTTTCTGAGTGTTTTTATTGCCATTCAGTTTTGGTGAAAGCGTACAGTTAAGGGATACTAAAGGTCAAGACAACCCAGTTGTGTGTAGACTTGTTTGATATGGAAATCCTGTGAAAAATTTACATGGAATTTTTTGATGTATTTAAAAAAAAAAGAGTTATTGTATGTATATTTCTTATTAGTATTTTCAGGCTATTAATTTCTCTAGATTGAAAAGAAAATTGAGACAGTTTTTACATAAGGAGGTGCTATTTTACGGTTGACCAGCATATCTTGTATATTATAGTTTTGATGGGCAGTTTAAATTAAGCTCTTTTTTTTCTTTTGTATAGTTATACTTATTATATTGTTTGGAACTGTTTTGATATCCAAAATGTTAAATGGAAGTTTAATACACAACACAAAATACACAATTTAAGATTGTACTGTTCATTATTGCAACATTATGCTGATAACATATTAATTTCTTATGCTATTTCATTCAGCGCTGCTATAAAGGTGTTGACAGCTCAACATACCAGAAAATGGTAGAAAAAGTGCATGAGCAAATGAAACGAGAAATGGTAACATCTCAGGAACAGCAACAACCTTCAAAGTCAGATGAACGTGAACAACCAGATCAGCAGGAAATGGAAGTATCTCAGTCATCTATAGATTCCACTAGTGATACTCAATCAGAAAAAGCGCAGAAGGATCTAGATGTTAAGCAAATTGACAGGAAGATAATGATGGAACCTTCATCTGAAAATGAAGATATTGCAATTGGTCAGGTGTGATAATTCTATTATTTTAAATTGAAATGTTGAGGTTACATCTGTGGTAGAAACTGTTCAACGTCATCATTATTTTCTGAAAATCTTTTTATCATTCTTGAACAAAATGCTGTTATTTTATTGGTATTCTTTCTTATGGTGATTTTTTATAAAAGTTTCACTTTCATATTTTTATAACAGTTATTTCACCAAACCTTGTTTTTTTTAAAAAAAAGATAAAAGAAATAAAACTCAAACCAAAAATGAACAGTGCTTTCAGAAGTTAAATTTTTTGTCAGTTTTTGTAACAATATCTTCAAATGCTTTTCATAAATTTGATATCAGATCTGTTAATTTCAAAGCTAAGCCACTAATAGTTGTGCTTGAAAGTATGGTAGTAAATGGGTATTTGTTGAGTTATAACTTGGAATTATTTCACATATATTTTAAATACACAAACTTAGATTACAGATGCCTACTAATCCAGCAGTTATATTAAAATACTTGCACAGTGTGAATTGATGCTAGGGAGGTTTTAGCTTCACACTAAAAGTGTCATATCTCAAACATTCTTCTTGAATATAACTTGGTATGTAGTTTGTAAACAATTCTAGTTCACTATGAATTTTTTTTTGTAACACTTCTATTTTCATAGAAATAAAAGTTGTGTTTATGCAAATTGCATTATTTTGCATGCAGTGTGCACAATTTTGCATTAAAACTGTATCTAAAACATTCTAAATATGTGAAAAAGTGTTGTAACGGTAACAGTAACAACAAACTTTATAATTGTGTGTCAACACATATGCTACTCCATCCTGAAAACTGTAGAAAGAATATTTCAGAGAGGGATTTTATTCATGACAAAAAGGAAAATTAACTAATAGTAATTTTTAGAACCATTGAAACATAAAATAATGAAATACTGAAGTGACACGAAATTGTATTATCTTCAAAGAAAATACAAATGTTCTCAGTTTGGTCTCCTAAATGGCAAATGAAGAAAAGGAACATATGAAAGGAGAGTTAATTATATGATTTATATGTAGAGAAATATAGAAGCGCTTATGTTATTTACCTGTACAGCAACGTATGAAAGGAGACTTAATTCTGTCTTGTATATATGCCCTTTTTTACGTGCTCTAAAATAATTTCCAATTTGTTTAGCATTTATTTTTTAATAAATAATATGTCCTGAACAAACTTGTCAATTTTTTTTTTTATATAGACTGAGCTGATATCATTCACCAGTAACTTCTTTCTTTGCTTTTATAATGATAATTTTGTATTTGTCTTTTTTTTGTGTACTAGTTATAGCCTTAAAAAACTTAAGTCTTCTTCAGAATTTTTGGAAACCACATTTTCTGTTGTAAACATAGATGTATAGTCAAAATTGCAGCAAAAGCAAAGAACCAGTAAACTTTTCAAAATGTTAAGTCTTATACTTAGGAAAGGGTGTTTCTTGAACTTTACATTTTCGTTTTTTGCTGTTTGTCATTAAAATGATTAAGTGATTCTGCATTGTGAAAAAATCATATTATAATGTCTTATCTGTATTAATGTATAAGATGTATTTTGGCTTCTGTTAACCTAAGGGCTACAGCATATATTATAATGAATAAGTATGATTAATAAATGTGATACTATTCTTTATGCTTATTAAGTATTAACTCTAGGTCTAAAGTACATGTAGGAAAATACTCAAAGTTTGATGAAGAAATAATCGCATTTCTACTTGTATACAAGATATAGAGCTTAAGTGACTTCTGTGTTTTAGTATTAGAAACACATTACACTCTTTTACAAAAGAAAAACCTATTGCTTTTATTATTCTTATTTACATATGTCCTTAATGCATTTTTTTTTCGAATTTTGAAACAAGAGCAAGAGGGAAAATTCATCAATAGATTTTTCTATTGAATTTTAAAAGTATTGCACAACTGTTAATAAAGTCTGATGTTGATTGATGTATACTTTAAAGATTAAGTGACATCACACTTTTTAAAAGATGTATTTCTTGTTGCCCCCCGGTGGTTCAGTGGTATGTCTGCGGACTTATAACTAAAAACTGGGTTTTAATACTTGTGTTGGGCACAGCACAGATAGCTCATTGTGTAGTTTTGTGCTTAACTACAAATATACGTATATCTTGTGAATTGCTATTATGCTAAATTTCCAGTGGGTTTCCTAATATTGTGCCTTGTATGAACTATATATATATAAAATTTTACAGAGATTGGATCCAAAATATCATAAAAATAATTTTTTTTGGGTCATGTTATAGTATTTCAATGATTTCTAGGACTCAATGGATCATATTTTGGCCTCTGATGAAAGTTCTACTGGAGACATTATCCAGAAGCTTACCAAAGCTTCAGCTCATGAAGGCAAGTTGAAGTCTACTCAGGACGATTCACAGCAGGATTTAGAATCTTATAACCAGATAAAACCAGAAGATAATGGTAAATTATAACTTTATTTAATTCACTAATGACTATTGGTATGACTAACATTTCTGAAGCACTAATAGGGTTGAAGAATTTCTCATTTGAAATGCTCTTTAATTTCTTGATTAATTTGCAGTAGCTTGTTATTTTTTAAAGTACAGTAACTAATTTTAGGTTATAAAATGATTAGTAGCTATAAAATGTTCTATTTTCCCTTATACTTTTAAAGAAGTCCACTATTACTTGACAGTCTATTTAGTTCTGGTTTAAAGTTTTTAACAGCCAGTGTCTTTCATACATAATACATGGTCATTTTCCACAGTCCTATTGATCTTAATTGTTACCAAAGGATCACTATATTCCAATACATGTTTGAAAACATTAAACTCTTCTGCATATTTTGGTAAGCTGTGCTCCTTAACACAATTTACCAGTCTGCTTGAAGTAGATCCTGTGTATGCTCTAAAACATTCAGTGCATTTATACATGTAAATAAATAACATTCGAGCAGTTTTATTATCCTGTTCCGTCTTTAAAGACAAAACAGTTTCTTAATCTGACGATGGTTTTAAGGATGACTCAAAGTTCTACTTGCAGATAAAAATTACACAACAAACTCTTGAGTTTTTTTTGTTTTGTTTTCGAGGCTTGTTTTTTAGTGAATGGTAGTGTTTTAAGGAGTTGTTTTGGGGGTACATTATACACTTTTTTTTTGGAGTAGCAGCTTTGTTGATTATGCTGGTTATAATTTTCATTGAAAAATCATTCTTCCTTAGATAGTTCTTGATGTTTTTTACATCTATTCTGAGTAGTTCTTTATTACAGGTACGTTTATGGATTCTTTATACCAGAAAACATGGGTTTTATGGTAGATTCCAGTTTCAAATTTTCCATCCTTTTTCATAACAAGGATGTCCAAGAACAATAGTCTTTTTCACATTGAATTTAATATTTCTCTGTTGTTTAATTAGGTAATTAAGAAACTTGTTCACCTGTTTTTCATTCTCAAATGCAGTAAATATGTCATCCACACATCTTTTATACACTAATGGTTTAAACTCTAGGACATCCTTCTAACCAAGTCCTTTCATGATGACATACAAGCTAAACTAGATGCTATACTAACTACATCTCTTTTTCCATTAAACAAGAAATGGGATTACTTTGTTCCTCTTTTACACAATTTCTAAAATACTTCTTTGGGTAACCCTTAAAGTTAGCTTCACTATTTGAAATCAAATTTACACATAATTCAATTGTTTCATCTAATTATTTGTTATTTGTTTTCTTTCAAAGTTTGTAGTGCATACTGGAGGGATTTACACATTGTGATAAAAGTTTAGATAAATGACCTTTACACTCCAAATGTATATATATTTGTTTCTTTTTATTACTACCAACAGTTTGATATTGAAGTATACGTTAATTTATAAAATTGATTGTGATGTTCCATCTCTCGAATCTGTCGCATGTGTCTCCAACAATGTATTAAATATCATTGTTATTTGATTATTGTTCTAATATAGTATACTTATATTACGTAGCTATACTAACATAAGACATATATTACTAAAATAAAATATAAAAATAAAGATAACCGAAATGTGTTTTATGATTAACTGAAAACACACAGACAGAAAATGGAAGTTGCTAAGAAACAATAGTTAGTGGAAAGGATTCAAAATTTACTAGCAGTCTTAAAAAAAAGTAATTGTAAGACTGTGTGGTACTCCAGAGTAAGCAAGTCTTAAACTGGAAGTAATAAGTGTAAAATGTATTGATACAATTTGTTCTGTGAATGGTGTTTTGGTTACATGTACCATCCAATGTCTCTGTTCATTTTTGGATTTTTCTCGTTAATGAGTATATCTTCCATATATTTTCTCTCTTTAAAATCTTTGTTTTTGTAAAATACAAACTTTAAATGGGTTCTGGTTTTCTGTGTTTGTGTAGGAAATGTTCTACTGGAGCAGTTTTGTGTTGGTCATGTGTATACATAGCGCAGTGATGTGTTCTGAGGTGCGTGTGGAAAGGTCTTCCGATTTCTCCTATATATGTGTGTTTCCACGTACATTCAAAATCATTTGGTAGATGACATTTTTGATGTGCCACATTTGTCTTGCTCCATTTTCTCGGGCGTAGCATTGTTTTTGGGTACATTTTGCTGTGTTTAACTGCTACTCAAAAATTTTGATAGTTTATGATTATGACACCTAATATTTGGTATGATGGGTCTCATTGGACAGTTTTGTTTATGTATTGAGATCAACTGGTTTATTTGCTGATATTCTTTGTCCAAGGAATCATCTGTAAAGACAGGTTTTATCATTCCAAGTTTAAAGAAATGTTCCAAATAAATTGTTTGTTCTTAAAATTAAAGACAAAATGAAAAGAAAAAAATGTTTGAATAGTGATTACAAATCTTTATTTCAACATTAAAACATTGTCTTCCAAAATGTATTAAATATTATTGAACCTCACAACAAAGCCATTGATCTGTGCATAAATCAAACATTTAAAGAACTTTCTTTACAAAGATGAAGTTTGTACATTTGTGGAGCACTTTGACCATGTTATTTTGGAATTATTCCAATATTCGTTTGTCTGGTATTCAAAAGGAACATTATTCAGAGGCTTGAATGTTGCTATGTTGCCAAAGAAGTTGCATAAAGCTGACTTTTTAACACCTTTTGAAATATTATTAAAACAGTTGCAGAAAAACAATGTTAGTGAAGTTGCATAAAGCTGACTTTTTAACACCTTTTGAAATATTATTAAAACAGTTGCAGAAAAACAATGTTAGTGAAGTTGCATAAAGCTGACTTTTTAACACCTTTTGAAATATTATTAACAGTTGCAGAAAAACAATGTTAGTGAAGTTGCATAAAGCTGACTTTTTAACACCTTTTGAAATGTTATTAACAGTTGCAGAAAAACAATGTTAGTGAAGTTTCTGAGATGACTTTGTAAATCTTAGATTCTAAAGATTCTACATCAAAACTAGCAATTTAGTATGTTATGATTTGATGTTATTAAGACACTCGAAACTGTCTTTCAAGGTATAACTTCCTTTAAACTGTTACTCAGAAATTTTGATAGTTTTATAATTAAGACATCCAGTGACTTTCTGAATATAACACTAAGCCTAAAACCTAACAGTATCTCAGAAATGAAAATACTACTCTCTCTACTGGACTTCAAGTTGGTGATCCAAGTTGGAATCTTTTTGATATCACAAAATACCCCTTTCAACTTTAGTTTGAGCTGTGAGTGCATTATAAGAGTGACAGTCAATTCCTTAAGGGTAGCATAAGTAACAGGATGCTTCTGACTGGCTTCATTCCCTCTGGTTGGTAGTTTAAATGTAGAGACAATGACAGGTAGCTTTAGTAGTTTTACCATAAATACAAATACTTGTTATTAACTTAATTTTGTACAATGTTTTTAATTACAACAGAAATATGAAAGTGGAAAAACAAAAGACCTTTACTCTCAAGATAATAATGAAGTATTTACTTGAGCCAATGTTTCACCATTGCAGCTTCATCAGGGCTAGTGGTAGAAGAACTAGTTTATAGTTTTGGATGGAGATTTTGTAATTTTTGTGCTAAAACAAAATGTTTTAAATACAATGTTAATTTCGCAATAGCTGAACAACACATTACTCCTAAATCTCCTAGAACAAAAGTTAGTTGGCTTCCTGCATACACTGTTAATTGTGACCAAAATTGTTGAAGCTGCAATGGTGAAACATTGGCTGAAATAAAAAGTATTTTTTCTTAGTATTTGAAGAATAATGGTGATTTTTTTTTTCTAATTGTATTGCCAGAATGTCTAAATCCCTCCAATATGCACTACAAGCTCTGAAAAACAACAAAATATGAAAGGAAATTTACATTTTTAATAATGCAAATAAGCAATGGATAGAAACTGTTGTTGAAGAGTTTTTGTTTTAAATTGACTTTTGTCCTTGAAGAAACATTTGCTACTTGTGGTTTCAGCAAATAGTTTATAAATCTGGGTAGAAATTTTGTGAATTTATGGATAAAACTTAAAATATATTTTGAATATAATGTTAATTTACCCATAGCTAAACAACACATTACTCCTAAATCTCCCGGAACAGAAGTTAAAGGTCTTCCTGCATACACTATTAATTGTGATCAAGGCATTTCTGAGCAACAAGAGGATAGTTTTTCAGAGCCAATTGAAGAAGAAGATGGCACTATGAATTCAGAAAACTCTTAAAGCAAAAACAAAAGTGTTTCTCTAAAGAGAAAGTTATAAGGATAATATTCTGTCATTAAAAAGGTACTCACTGAAATTGTAGTTTTTCTAAAAGAGAAAAAACTAATACTTGGTTTATAATTAAAATAAACCAAGACATTGTTTTTCAAGATAAAGAATGTTTTTGTCAACTGAATGTCAACAATAAAAGGTCTTGAATATTAAATAAAGTTTCATCTTTCTGTGTTGTGTGATTTAATACTTGTAACTACACTAGTAATGATAAGGATCTGAACCAGTTTTGAATCTTTGTTATTCACCATGTTTATGTTAGAAGAATAATTAGTTTTCTAACATATTTTTTTTCCTTCTTGGAATGGAAAATGATGCCATGAGGTGGTTCAAAAAAACCTTTTTTTGAATGTTGTCTACTATTGTAAGTTGCAACACTAAAGACATTTTTGAAATCATGTTTTATAATTTGTGTGTGTGTGTGTTGTCTTAATCAATAGGACACACCAGTTCTTTCAGCTAAGCTATTTCCTTATAGCATCCTCACCCACCATATTAATGTTTTACATACACTTTCAACGACTTCATTCTTTACATTGTGAGATAGTGTACCATTCTGCATTAAAAAAAGCTTTTCTGAATAAAAGTAAAATTGTGTAGATTTGATAACTTATTTTGATTATAAGATGTTTTGGTAAACAGTGTGAGATTTTCTGTTTTTTTTATAGAGTTAGTTAATACATCAAGCACAGAATGAGCAGTATTTTATTAAGATGAAAAATGTGCTCTAGAAAATGTTTAATATTTGTATTGGACTTTTTAATTCTGTATTATTGTTAAGTAAGTTACATTTTTTGTGTAAATTTGGGATTTATGGGGAGTTAGCTTTTATGTAATACATATAGCAGTATCCTTATTGTACTACAAAATATCTTCTTTAAACCTACTACAGTAATAGCTGTTTTGTTCACACAATCACTTGTATTGGAAATTGGTAGTATGATAATTTCGGCATCACTTTTGTGCAAATAAATGTTGTGTTTTCCTAATTGCATTATAATCTGTTTCACTTTCTAGCACAAAATAATTTATTTATGTTTTCTGTTCACTGTCTAGAGAAACCTAAAACATGACTGTTTAGGAACATAGTAGAAACTGAATATATCTGAATTCAAATAAAATTACACAGTAAAAGCCTTCACATTTGAAATAAATAACTACATTTTTTATTATATTTTCCCTCGAAAGCAATGATAAAGCATTTTTTATGAATCAAAAGAATGATTACTATGAATGTGGACAAAGAAGAGATGTTATCTAACATCAAAATCATAAATTGTATTTCTATTTTGACGTCTGGGTGCCATAAAATACGGACAACAATCTATCATTGGTAGTTGCTTATTATTGTTTTGTGGACTATAAAAACCTGTGACGATGTGTTAGTAAAATATTGTTCTTAAGTAATGAACTCATTCTATTTCTCTTCAGATAGTAGGTAGTAGTAAAAAATAAGAAATAGTTCATTTGAAGGTTCAGATTGTTATAATTCTTTTAAAGTATCGCATTATATTGTATTTAAAAAAATATGTAATGTTCCAGCGAAATAAAACGTGTTTTTACTCAATAATTTCTGCTCAAGTTAAAGAAAAACTTCTGAAAGAAAGTATTGAAAAGTTTATTATGTAATTAATGTTTGAAGCAAAGTTTAAACAGTTAAGGATTCTTGTAGTACATTATTATTGAATTACAAGATGTAAATCATCGTAAGTGAAAATATATTCCCGCTTTTATGTCTAATTTAAACTCAAGTTTAACAGAAGTCATGTTTATGGAAACATTCTTAAGGTCAAGTTTTAACCAGAAATAATTGTTAAGTAGGTGCAGTAGGAAAAAGCTGGACTGAGAGCTTGCAAAGCGTGTGACCCACTTATCTCCCTCAAATTTTATGATGTATACTAGATGTACTTTCTAACGTTCCCCCGAAAGTGTGCTCTTTTGAGAGTAAATAAAAGCAAAATTATGAGTAACAAATATTTTATTTCTTGCTTTTGAAATTCATGTTTCGTGCTGTGTTGTAGCCTACAGAGTGCATAATTCTCGTAATTCATGGTATGCACACATTTTACTAACATCACGACAACACAAATTGCAATGTTTTTAGCCCCTTTCGAGGAACTATTCCTTAAGCTAGTTGGATGAAGAATGGATTTGAAGCAGTTACATAGTTCTTTTTTAGTTGAAAAAGAACATTGATTTATGAAAATAAAATACCCTCTTGATTTGAACATATCCGAAAGTTCATTTTGCATCAGTTCAGTACAAGTGTCATGCAGTGTCACTTCTGGTTAACTACCAGGATCAAGTAACCCTACACTCAATAGTTTCAAGCTGCTTTATCTTGCTCTGTTTATCAGATATCACCTACTGTTTGGTAACCCTTACACTCAATAGTTTCAAGCTGCTTTATATTGCTTTGTTTATCAGATATCACCTACTGTTTGGTAACCCTACACTCAGTAGTTTCAAGTTGCTTTACCTTGTTGTGTTTATCAGATATCACCTACTGTTTGGTAACTACCTGGTAATGATATAGCTAATTAAATGTGCTGTGTTTATCAGATATCACCTACTGTTTGGTAACCCTTCACTCAATAGTTTCAAGCTGCTTTATCTTGCTCTGTTTATCAGATATCACCTACTGTTTGGTAACCCTACACTCAATAGTTTCAAGCTGCTTTATCTTGCTCTGTTTATCAGATATCACCTACTGTTTGGTAACTACCTGGTAATGATATAGCTAATTAAATGTACCTTTCGTAACGTTATTACTTATAAAGATTAGAATGAATTGTTTCATTATTTGGGTACCCCTAACTGTTAACGACATTTTTTTATTCTGGACCTTAGGGTTTAATGAATTGTTTCAATATTTGGGTACCCTAACTGTTAACGACATTTTTTATTCTGGACCTTAGGGTTTAATGAATTGTTTTATCATTTGTTGTACCCTAACTGTTAAAGACATTTTTTATTCTGGACCTTAGGGTTTAATGAATTGTTTCAATATTTGGGTACCCTAACTGTTAACGAC